CACCCGACCCCACCCCGTGCACCATGACCTATCTTAACAGAGTGAGTCTTGCGGTCACCTCACCTACCGCTTCATTCATTTGTCTCTTTTCTTCTTTTCTTTTTTTTTTTTTTTTTTTTTTTACATTTTTTGTTGGTTTACGTCATGTTCGTTTGTTCCCTTTCTAGAGAGAGAGAGAGAGGCGTGGAGTGAGAGGAGAGGGAAGAGAGAGAGAGGAAGAAGAGAAAGAGAGAGAGAGAGAGAGAGAGAGAGAGAGAGAGAGAGAGGAGAGAGAAAGAGAGAGAGAGAGAGAGAGAGAGAGAGAGAGAGAGAGAGAGAGAGAGAGAGAGAGAGAGAGAGAGAGAGAGAGCAGAGAGACAGGAGAGAGAAGAAGAGAGAGAAAGAAAAAACAAAGAGAGAGAGAGAGAGAGACAGACAGACAGACAGACAGACAGAGACAGGGATAGAGAGAAAGAAAAAGAGAGAGAGAGAGAGGAAAGATGTAAGGTGGAGAGAGAGAGAGAGATCGTACATAAGCGAATGTGCGTTTATTTCAACCATGTGCACATTTGTACACATACCCCAAGTAAATAAGATCATACATCTGTCTTGCCAGTACGAAGAGCAAAGTTTTTTTCTTCTTCTTTTCTTTTGCTTTTTTCTTCTGCTTTTAAGGGTTTTTTTCTTAAGGTCACGCTCGCAGTAAAACCGGAAGTTGCTTAAAAAGGTCAACTGTTCCGCACCGAAAACACAAGGAGGAAAGGTCGAGCAAAATTGTGGACGGTAGGGAAAGGGGGGGGGGGAGAGGGGAAGGGGAGGGGGCTAGGGGGGAGGGGGGAGAGGGAAGGAGAGAGAGAGGGGGAAGGAGGGAGGGAGGGAAGGAGGGAGAGGGGGAAGGAAGGAGGGAGGGCGTGGGAGAGTAGGGGAAGAGGAAGGACGGGAGAGAAGGGGGAAGAGGGAAGGAGGCTGACGGGGAGAGTGGGAAGGGGGTGGAAGGAAGGAGGGGAGAGTAGGGAAGAGGGAAGGAGGGAAGAGGAGAGAGGGGAGAGAGGGAAGGGAAGAGGAAGGAGAGGGAGGAGAGGGAGGGGTTGGAGGGGAAGGGGGAGGAGGGAGAGAGGGAGGGAGGAGGGAGAGGGAAGGGAAAGGGGGGGAGGAAGAAGGAAGGGGGAGGAAGGGGGAGAGGGGGGGGGAGGGGAAGGGGAGGAGGGGAGAGGGAAGCAGGGGGGAGAGGGGGAGAGAGGAGAGGGAGGGGTTTGGAGGGGGAAGGGGGAGGAGGGAGAGAGGGAAGAGCGGAAGGAGGGGGGCAGAGAGGGGAGAGGGAGGGGTTGGAGGGGGAAGTGGAGGAGGGGAGGAGGGAAGCAGAGGGAAGGAGGGGCAGGAGGGGAGAGCAGGGGAAGAGGGAGGGGGAAGGGGAGAGGGAAGAGAGGGAGGGGGGGAAGAGGGAGAGGGAGAGAGGGGTGTGGAGGGGGAAGGGGGAGGAGGGAGAGAGGGAAGAGGGAAGGAGGAGACGAAGGGAGAAGGAGGGGTGTTGGAGGGGAAGGGAGGAGGGGAGAGAGGGAAGAGGGAAGGAGGTGCGGGAGAGAGGGAGAGGAAGGGTGGAGGGAAGAAGGAAGGAAGAGCGGAAGAGGGGGGGAGAGGGAGGGGGGAAGAGAGGGTGGGGGAAGGGGAAGGGAAGAAGAGGGCAGGGGGGAAGGGGGAGAGGAGGTTTGGAGGCGGGAAGGAGGGAGGAGGGGAGAGAGGAAGAGGGAAGGAGAGGGGAGAGGGCGGACGAGGGAGAGGAGGTGAGAGGAAGAAGGAAGGAGAGGGAAGAAGCGAGAGAGGGAAGAGAGGAGGGGGGAAGGGGAGAGGGAAGAGAGGGAGGGAAGGGGGAGAGGGGGAGAGGGGGAAGGAGAGGGAAGAGAGGGAGGGGGATAGGGGGAAGGGGAGAGGGAGAGAGGGAGGGGGGAGGGGAGAGGAAGAGAGGGAGGGGGAAGGGGAAGGGAAGAGAGGGAGAGGGGAAGGGGGGAGGAAGAAGGGAAGGAGAGGGAAGAGAGGAGGGGGGAAGGGGGAGAGGAAGAGAGGGAGGTGGGGGAAGGGGAAGGGGAGGGGAAGAGAGGGAGGGGGGAAGGGGGGGAGAGGGAAGAGAGGGAGGGGGGGAAGTGGGAGAGGGAAGAGAGGAGGGAGCGAAGGGGGAGAGGGAAGAGGGAGGGGGAAAGGGGGGAGAGGGCAAGAGAGGGGAGGGGGAAAGGAAGGAGAGGGAAGATGAGAGAGGGTGGGGAAAGGGGGAGAGGGAAAGAGGGAGGGTGGGAAGGGGGAGAGGAAGATAGGGAGGGGAAGGGGGAGAGGGAAGAGAGGGAGGAGGGAAGGGGAGAGGGAGGGTTGGAGGAAGAAGGAAGGAGAGGCGAAGAGAGGGAGGGGGAAGGGGCGAGAGGGAGGGGTTGGAGGGAAGAAGGAAGGAGAGGGAAGAGGAGGGAGGGGAAGGGGGAGAGGGAGAGGGTTTGGAGGGAGAAGAAGGAGAGGCGAAGAGAGGGAGGGGGAAGGGGGAGGAGGGAGGGGTTGGGAGGGGAAGGGGGAGGAGGGAGAGAGGGAAGAGGAAGGACGTAGGGGAGAAGAGGGAGAGGGAGGGGTTGGGGGGCGAAGGGGAGGAGGGGAGAGAGGAAGAGGGAAGGAGGGGGGGAGAGAGGGAGAAGGGAAGCGGGTTGGGAGGGGGAGGGGGGAGGAGGGCGAAGAGAGCGAGAGGGCGAAGGAGGGGCAGAGAGGGAGAGGGAGGGGGGATGAGAGGAGGGGGGAAGGGGGAGAAGGGAAGAAGAGGGAGGGGGGAAGGGGGAGAGGGAGGGGTTGGAGCGCGGGAAGGGGAGGAGGGAGGCGAGAGGAAGGGAAGGAGGGGCGAGAGAGGCGATGAGGGAGGTTGGAGGGGGAAGGGGGGCAGCGGGAGAAGAGGGAAGAGGAAGGAGGGGGGAAGAAGAAGGAGAGGGAAGAGAGGAGGGGGGAAGGGGGAGAGGGAGGGCGTGGAGGGAAGAAGAAGGAGAGGAAGAGAGGGAGGGGAAGGCGGGAGAGGGAGGGGTGGAGGGAGAAGGAAGGAGAGGGAAGAGAGGAGGGGGGAAGGGGGAGAGGAGGGTTGGAGGGAGGGGGAGGAGGCGAGAGAGGGAATAGGAGGAGAGGGGAAGAGAGGGAAGGGAGGGCGTTGGAGGGGGGAGGGGCAGGAGGGGAGCAGGGAAGAGGAGAGGGGGAGAGAGGGAGAGGGAGGGTTGGAGGGGAAGCGGGGAGGAGGGAGAGAGGCGAAGAGGGAAGGAGGGGGCAGAGAGGGAGAGGAGGGGAGAGAGGGAGGGATGTGCGAAGGGGGAGAGGAAGAGAGGGAGGGCGGGAAGGGGGGAGAGGGAGGGTGGAGGCGCGGGAAGGGGAGAGGGGAGAGCGAGGGAAGCAGGGAAGGAGGGGGAGCAGAGGAGAGGGAGGGGCGATTGAGGGGGAACGGGAGGAGGGAGGAGAGGAAGAGGGCAAAGGCAGGGGGGAAGAGAGGGAGAGGGAAGGGTGTGGATGGAAGAAGGAAGGGAGAGGGGATAAGAGAGGATGGGAGGAAGGGGTGAGAGGAAGAGAGCGGAGGGGGGATAGGGGGAGAGGGAAGAGAGGGAGGGAGAAGGGGAGGGAGAGCGGAGAGAGGTAGGGGGAAGGGAGAGGGAGGGTTGGAGGGGGGAAAAAAGAAGGAGAGGGAAAGAGGATGGAGGGGGCAGGGGAGAGGGATGAGTTTGTGAGGGGTTGGACCGGGAAAAGGAAGGATGAGGTGAAGAGATGGAGGGGGGAGGGGGAGAGGCGAGGGCATTGGGAGGGGGCAACAGGGGGAGGAGAGGAGAAAAGGGAAGAGGGAAGGAGGGGGAGAGAGGAACGGGAGTGCGACGGGCGAAGAAGAAGGAGAGCGGAAGAGAGGGAGGGGGCGGAAGGGGAGAGGGGAAGAGAGGGAGGGGCGGAAGGGTGGAGAGGGAAACGAGGAGGAGGGGAAAGGGGAGAGGGAAGAATTTGGCGAGGGGGAAGGGGGAGAGAGGGGGGGGCTTGGAGGTGGAGAAGGGGGAGCAGGGGCGAAGAGGAAGAGGGAAAGGGAGGAGGGAAGAGAAGGAGGGGGGGGAAGGGGGAGAGGGAGGGGCTTTGGCGAGGAGCGAGAAGGGTGTTAGGATATCGACTCAGGTCCGGTGAGTGGTTTGGTTTTGAATGACGTGATTTTCTGAATTTCGATCGCAGTTGCTTCTCTGTGCTCGCTGGCGGCTGTTCTTCATGTATGTTTGTGTGTTGTGTTTTAATTTGTGCTGTGAGGGTCAAGTGATTGTTGTGGTTGTTGGGGTGTTTGTGTGTTGTCGTTGTGTGTGTGTGTCTATATGTTATGTGTGTGTGTTGCGTTGGTATGTGTCTATGTTGGTGTGTGTGTGTGCCTGTGTGTGTGTGTGGTTGTGTGTGTGTGTGTGTCTATGCTTGTGTGTGTTGTGTTTGTATGCTGTCATGTTGTGTGTGTGTTGTGTGTGTGGCTGTGTGTGTGTGTTTGTATGTGTCTATGTTATTGTGTGCTGTGTGCTTCCTCGTATGTGTCCTATGTGGTGTGTGTGTGTGTGTGTTGTATGTGTTGTGTGTGTGTGCTCGGTGTGTGTGTGGTGTGTGTGTGTGTGTGTGTGTGGTGTCGTTTGTATGTGTTCTATGTTTGTGTGCTGCTGTTTGTATGTGTCTATGTTGTGTGTGTGTGCTGTTTTGTATGTTGTCTATGTTGTGTGGTTGCGTCTTCGTGTGCTGTGTGCTGTGTGTGTGCTGTGTTGTTGGTGTGTGTCGTGTGTGCTGTGTGTGGTGTCGTGATGTGTGTGTGTGTGTGTGTGTTGTGTGTGTGTGTGTTTGTGATGTGCCTCGCTATGCTGTGTGTGTTTGTGTGTGTGTCTGTATGGTGTGTTTCTAATCGCATCTGTCATCGGTGTCTGTTCTGTGTGCGTCCGCATCTACAACCGCAGGCGCACCAACTCACAGCACATCGACACAAACTCCCCCCTAAACCCCCCTCTTATTCGCTGCAGTCGTCTGTTACACAGAGCGAATGTGGCGTGGCGGCGCTCTGCCATGCTCTCACGTGGGCGTTGGAAGGTGTAGGGTGCGCCCACGGCTTACACAGAGACCTGCCTGCGCGACGCCCGTGTGTGAACCCGCCGATGCAGCAACGGGGGAACTGCGTCAGCACGGTGTCTGTTCCTTGGCCCTGAGGGTTTCTCCGGCTGGCATGTGTCCGTGCGCAATACGGTGAGTTTCCCTTCCTTTCGGAACGGTCAGTGGATAGGTAGATGGTTGGAACAGATAGATGAATAGATGAGTGATAGATGGTTGGAATAGATAGATATATATATAGAGTGATATGACATGGTTGGAATAGAATAGTTTTGAATGAGATGAGTGATAGATGGTTTGAATAGATGGCTATGAATAGAGACTAATAGATGATTGGAAATAGATAGTATTATAGATGACTGATAGATGCGTTGGAATAGATTAGATGAATCAGAAAATACTGATACGGATTGGTTGGAATACGATAGCTCATGAAATAGATGAATGATAGATGTTGGAATAGAGAGATGGAGTAGCATGAGTGATTAGATGGTTTTGAATAGCAGAGTATGAACTAGATGAGTGAGTAGATGGCTTTGAATTAGAAAGATGAATAGCATGGATAATAGATGTTTGGAATAAGAGCATGAATAGATGACTATTTGAGTTAGAGAGTATGAATTAGGAGATGAGGTGATAGATGATTTGGAATAGAGAGATGAATAGTATTGACTGATAGCAGCGTGTGGAATAGATAGCATGAAGTAGCTATTGACTGATTAGTAATGGTTGGAATAGGATAGTAGTGAATAGATGACTGATAAGTATTGGTTGGATAAGATAGGATGAATAGATGACTAATAGATGGTTGGAATAGAGAGCCCATGAATAGACTTACTGATAGATGGTTGGAATAGAAGGAGGATGAATATTCATGAGCTGAATAGATCATTGGAACAGCATAAGATGAATATGATGAGTGAAGAGATAAATAATACGAAATTGTATTGAAAATTAATCATGAATATGAATGTTGAGATTTTCTTCATGAGAAAGACAAGAAAAAAAGACAAGAAAAGAAAGAAAAAAGAAGCATGAAAGCAAGAAAAAAAAGAGCAAGAGAAAAACGAATGTACTAATTTAATGAATAGGTTAACACTAAATGCATAATAGACTAGATAATTGAACAGAGATTATACATTAATTGCAATTAAGATAGATTACATCCAAAGAATAGACGGATAAGTCAATGACTAAATAGATAAATAGNTGTTTAAAAAGTAATCCGAAATTATACACATATATATTTTTTTTTTTTCCTTCGTTAGTGTTCGTAGTGCTGTGTAATAATATTGATTCGCTAATTAAGACTATGATATAAATTAACACTGAATTAACTCATGAATAATTGATGAACAGAACAAAACAATTATTTTATTATTAACTGAGAAATCATATCGTCTATATCTTCGTGGCGGTCTCACTTTTTATTTATTTATAAAAATAGAAAATAAAAATAATAAAAATATAAGGGGAGGGGAGAGGGGGAAGAGGGGTAAGGGGAAGGAGGAGGAGGAGAGGGAGAGGAGGGGAACAGGAGGAGGGAGAAGGATTGGAAAAGAGGAGGAATAAAAAGAAATGAAAACATAACAAAAAGAAAAAGAGAAATAATAAGATTAATAAAAATCATAATAATAAATAAATGGTAATAAATAAAAATAGATAATAATAAAAACAATGAAAAAAAATCGGCCATGAAATCGTCATAGGTAAAATATATTATGCAAAATCGGTGCATTCCTAGGCCGGAATCTACTAGGAATGGGAACGAAGTCTAAGGAATTTGCGCGCGGGAATCAACAAGCCCCTCCCACCACACCTCAGGGAAGCGCACTTAGCCCCATGCTGTTTAACATCCTAATGCAGAGATTACTAGGCGACATACTCTCCAGGCATTGAACACACTAGGCAAAGGTGCAGGAAATATTGCAAATGAATGATAAATGTGATCGTGCAAAAGAACGAGGCTGCAGATATGTGATTTTGTGGATGGCCATCGCATGTTGGAATCCCCAGGCATGATCATGCTGACCGCCTAGCAAAATCAGCATGTAACAAGCAAAGTGTTGATATAGATCTTGGAGTACCTCTTGCTAGGATTTCACACATAATTAAAACTTCCTTCAAAGAGGACTTGTCTGACTTGATTAATTCTCAGCGGCCTGAAAGCTGTAGCATAAAGCGCTATGACCGGTTTATGCAAGATGTATTCATCTATGGTTTATTCAAAACAAGAAAACAGTGTGATATTGTGACCGCAAGAATCAGGCTGGGATATAGATTGTACTGGCAGGTCAGTACAGCCTGTAATGTTTAAGAAACAGTGTAAATTATGCAATGAAGAATATAAGCAAACACTTGTACATTATATCTCAGAGTGCCATGTAATACAGCCTTTCAGACCACCTAGCATGAGGTATGGAGAACTATGTAACTACTTCATATCATCTGATGTCTTGGAAGATATAATTATGGTGTATCCTAAATTTGGAATGTAGTATCACATGACCACATATCAAATGTTACATTGCCTTTCCACGCCCAAGCCGTATGCCGGCTTGATAGATTAGATAAATTACTGATTGTTTTCTTTTAAAT